CGTTCCTGCAGTAACACGAGCCTGCGGGTTGTGCCTGGTGATGCGCCTTGTCAGCAGGCGCCGAGCCGTCATCATCCTAAACGGCTCCGGCTGCTTCTGCTTTGCGGCAGCAAGCCGTCTTGCTTAGTCGGTGCTCGCCCGGGGGGATATCAGCGTGGTCTGATCGGGTTTTGGGTCTTTTTGCGAGAACTGTGTTGTAGCGGCTATTCTCACCCCCTGCCCGACTGCTTGGTGCTGTGGCATAGCCTAGCAGTGTAGTGATAATGACATATTTTATTTTGTAGGTGTGGCAACAGACTGTAGAGGGAGCACAGCAACTTAGTGACAGGTCATATGCTCTCTGTTTAAGCTTTGAAGATCTCTAATGAGCTTTGAGAATCCACAGCTATGGGAAAACCCAATATTGCCAGAATGTCACTTTGTACAGCCCTGCCATGAAACTTGCTGCCACCTCACACGTCCTGTCATGTTGCATCAGAGTTGACAGTCTTAGTCATTCACTGCCCAGGCAGCAGGGACACTACCTTTTCTGGAAATTGAACAGAATCACATTGATTTCATTCAGCTGTTGTGTGGGTCCCTGGGAGCATGTTTCATTCTGAAAACAGTGTAATTGGTATATCTAGACTGGGTTACTTGTCAAAATTTCAGTATCAAAAGAAATTTCATTCACACAGGAAGCAAAGTTGAATCTTCCAGTGTCAATATTACCTGTAAGTTGGAATTTTGAATTTTGCTCTTCCATACCTTTAGACATATGATGATCCCTGTTGAGTTAAGGGAGACCCCCTCACATGCACAAGGCATCTCGGGAACCAGGATTTAATTGCAACTCTCCTGATACTGCTGTATCCTCAGTACATTATTACTTTCTAAAATTTGATTACTGTTCTGCTGACACCCACATCAATAAGACTATTTTAAAATAATTATTGGAAAATTTGTTTACAGAAATATCCAGAAGCCATGCATTTTCACCAGAAAAAAAATAGCACTAGAAAGCCTTAGTAGCTTTCCAGCTCTCCCTCAAAGAAATCAAACTGCTCCACAGAGACAAGCAAAAACTTGCAATTAAGGGTATAATAAGCAATAACAACTAGCCTTACAAAGGGGAATAGCTAGTGCAAAGTAATCAACAAACCAGAGGGATTAAGTAGGGTCTATAAAGCTACAAAGACAGTTGAGTAGCAGAGGAGTTGACATAGATGCCTTGTGAATCATTAATGTTAAAGATAGTGATCTTCCATTGCCCATCACAATCTAGAGCAGGTTTTGTGCGTGACAAAATGAATCAGAGAGCTGTTTTTTACGTTCTGGGTTGTTCAGCAGTGATGGCTATACCTGCTCCTGAGGAAGGTAGAGGAAAGCTTGTAGTAGTAGTTCTCACTAAATATCCTGGTTATCCTTCTGACTAAATGATCACGTCCTGAAAAGCATCTAGAAATATCTGTACAATAGCTAAAGGGCTCTGAACTTGTAAGGAGGTTGGAATGTAAGATGTGCTGAGGAGAAAAGGGCAAATGGAAGAAAAGAAGTTGTGCTGTTGACCTCCTGCCTTCTGTAATGTAAAATATAGCCCTGCAGTGGCTTTCCTGTTTATTAAGGGGCTGCTCTAAGAGTCTGGCAAACACTTAGAATGAAAATATTCTGTAGAGAACCATGTGGAATAGACATTAGCAATCTCTCAGTGTAGTGTATCTGTGGTGATGAGATGCTGTTGATCTACTGGCTTCTTACCTTTGGGTGAGGCAAGGCTCCTTGTTCCAGAAAACTGTGAGGCTGAACGTCAGAGCTCCTCCTTCACTCACACCTTTTGCCTTCACAACAATTCATCTTGCAGTTCACTCTGTGCTTGTCTGAGGACAAGAAAGAGATGGGCAGGAGGAGGATGTATTAATTGTTCTGAGGCAGCCCAGCTCTTTATTGTGTCTTTTATGGGAACTCCTCAGAT